AGAGGGGGGACAGGAGGGGACGTCAGGGGTCGAAGAACTCCTGAGCTGTGACCACAGACTGCTTTGGTCTCGGAGTCGTTGGTGTGACGGTTGTTGACAGTCGCCCAGTGTAAAACTGATGTTTAGAAGGTTTCGTGCTCGTTACACAGAGTTTGTGTGAATTGTTGCAATAAAGCTGGTGTTTTGGATCCATCTCTGTGACATTTGGAACCGTTTTGATCCCGAACTTCCCCAGTACTTTCTTGCGTATCTTTAAAACACAACAAGTTCCAGAATTTGATGCTTTTTTTTTTTCCACTGCCAGTTCAGTCCTTCTTACTGTTGTTCTACAATATCGCATTCTAGTCTCCGTGTGTTTAAACTGCCGTTCATTTCTAAGGCCAAACAAAATAGTTGTTTTATTTTTTATCTTCTTAAAAAAACAGCATCCGTTCAGAAAAAAAACCTCAGAACTGATTTGTTCATTAGTTGTAGGTGGAAAACAAAAGTGTCTGCATGAGAAGTTTCAAGAAGATTAATATTTTATTAAAGTACTTTCCACGAGACATGACACAATCCGTCCACTAGGGGACTTAATGAAAACCAGTTTAAAGTAGGACATGCAGTAAATCTTTACACTCCCAGGATTCTCAGGCGTCCTTCAACAACCTGGAAAATGTTCAGGTAATCCTGGAAAAGCAGTTTCCCTACTCCCTAAAAGTGAGTCCCCGCCTCCACCTTCCCCCCCTCACTGTTCCGTTGTTTTGTTTTTTCTCATCATGCTGCAGGAATCGACTTCTGAGATTGACCTGGTTAGAAGACGAGGGGAAACAGCTGGTGATGGTGATGATGATGATGATGATGATGATGATGGTGCAGGTGCACTAAGTCCGCACTGGACTATACGTGGCGCTGTCCTGCTCCTGTCTGCGGAGGTGCCGGTTCCAGCCCCGCCCTCCCGTGAAGCTGCAGTCCGCAGTGAAGACGAAGTCCAGAAGGATCCCGTCACAGTGCAGCACACTGCAGTCTCCATCAGCAGCAGCAGCATCATCACACTCCTCCTCCTCCTCCACCTCCATCTCCTTATTCGCCTCCCGCACCTCCTCCCTGCGCTCCTCTGGCAGGTGGAAAGGACGAACACGGAGCAGAGACGATGTGAGTATGACGCCTCTCCATATTTTATCATCGTTTTTAGATGTGATTTTGTGACTTCTTCTTATTATTATTTATCTTTTTTTTTCTGTCACGTCATGGACAGTCAAGTTCATTCTTGCGTCACTGCCAATGCGTGCGTTCACATTTTTACGCACTTGAATAGTTTTCTGCAGCTTTTTTCAAACCCCTTAAATCCACCGCGGGGGAAATCGTTGCCTTGTTTATTTTTGTCCTTTTATTTTAATGATGGGAGAAGATGTTAGCACCGAGTTTATAATCTGTGACCTCAAAACGCCTTTGATTCATGAAGAGTGATGATGCAGCACATCTGCGTCCTCACACACACACACACACACACCCCCACACGGCAGCCGTTCTTGTTTGATGACCAGAACCTCGGTCTCTAACACTTACTGGTCCAGTCTGGTCCAGTCTGACCATGAACCACATCTTCATCCTGCCTTTAACCAAAGCCTCAGATATAACTTTGACACTTTAAAGTCGGCTCCTAGTGGATCTAATGAGAACTACAGGGTCGACCCAAAAAAACAAAAAAAAAAACAACTCAAAATAGAATTTAATAAAGGGGAACAAAAATATATTTTGCTTCGTCATATTTTGGTCAGGGTGTGTTCGACCGAGTGTGATCACAACCAATCACCAGATCCATCTTAACCTAACACATTAAAACAAACAAACTTACCCATTACATTTCAAAATGACCGATTTGATACCGACTGTGGTGTGCTCATGGGATTTCGCAATGATTACTCTAGGGGTCGCTGCTGAGCCTTTCAACGCATTTTTGACAAACAGCCGTTTTTTTATGTTTCATTGTTTCTAACTTTGGGACAACGACGTATGTTGTAATATAAATGAATCGTTTTGTAAAAAAAAAAAAGAACAAATGAGAAATCAAAACCATCAGAGATTGTGCTCTAATGTCTGTGACGTCCGTCGTGTGTTCTGCTGTGACCTTGCCAGGTTTTTCCTTATCTGTTTTTGTCTGTCATCGAGGTCCGGCCCATTTCTCAGGTTTAAAACTAGATCCTTGGTTTGGTCCATTGATTTCTGTAATTAAATGACTTATTTTTTTAGTAAATCTTTCAACAAAAACAAAAAAAAACAATGACGTGTGACTTTTCTTTTCCAGGACGTCTGTCTTGGTCTGTGCTGTTCTGGCCCTGGTGGCCTCAGCTGAAGCCAGTGTTGGGTAAGTGTCGTCGTCACCAGCAGCAGTCGTGACCTCCACACACTCTACCTGTTAGAATAACTGATCAAACCCAAGGAAAAAGTCATGTTGGAGGAACGTAAACACAGCATATCGGTTTTATCTAAAGTTTTGGGGTTTTTTTTAGATAAAATAACATTTATTCTTCATAAATAATTCTCTCTCTGTTACAGGCCCAGTACCAACGACAGCTTTTGCACCGAGTCGAAGGAATGTCTCCAGTATGAGCTCGTCTGCAAGACGGACGAGTATGAAGTGAGTGACCAGCAGGTGTCGTGTCCACAGGCCTCAGCTGTCTCTCTGTTGTCACTCACATGTCTGTCTGTGGTCAGGTGAGACACTACAGCCCAACCCGCTGGGTGTCAACGGACGCAGAAGCCTACTTCATGGGGGTGGGAGCAGCCATGGCCTTCAGGAGGCTTTTCCAGTACATCACTGGAGCCAACGATGAAGGTGAGGTCAGCAAAGGTCAGACAACAAATAGCCGGAACAGATGATAAAAATAAATAAATAACATTTCATTGTGGCCCACGTATGGCAGGACTAACAATGGGTAAGAATAAAAGTCCAGTGAAATTAAACCAAAAATGGTCAAAGTCTGGTGTGAAAATATAACAGGGATGAATCAGTTCTACAAATGTCCCACATGTGTCGAACTCAAGGCCTGTGGGCCAAATTTGGCCCCCTTAACTTTTTGCGACCCAGAACAATTTGACCGGAGAACATTATGGTTCAAACGTGTGTTAGAAAAATTCTGTATTTAATGTGATTGAAGAGTGCGATGAGTCAGAGAGGACGATGTCGTGTGAGTGGTTTCTGTGAGGCGTCAGTGTTGAATTAAAGACTAGACTGAAGACGACACACGTTTGTGGCTTTCTGTCTCGACGCTGACAGCGATTCAGATGGAGATGACGGCACCGGTTCTGGTCAAAATCCCAGAGGAGACAAAGATGTGGGAGCCCGCCATCTACACGCTCAGCTTTCCACTGCCGGCAGCCTATCAGGACAAGCCTCCGGCCCCTACCTGCGACAAGGTGAGCTGAGGATGACACGGACACATGACACGGTGGAGGAAGAGGTTTTGGTTTCACTGGTGTTTACGATGTCTCTGCTGTAGCTTTACTTCACCGAGATGCCGGAGATGGACGTGTACGTGAGGAGCTACGGAGGCTGGATGCTGTCGGTCACCTCCAGGCTTCACACCCACCGGCTGAACAAAGAGCTGGAGAGAGTGAGGGCTTCCTTCAACCACAGCTACCACTACGGCGTCGGCTACGACAGGTAACGCTCGTCACAGGTTCTTAAATGTCAGATGAAGATTCTAACTTTATTTGACAAAAAAAAACCATCACAGTTTCTTTATGTATCAGAGAGTTGGCAGATACATTTTCATCGTATTAGCCAATCGTGTGCTGTGTACGAGCTCGTCTAGGTAAATAAAGCTACCAGCCATCGACTTTCAAAACTAGAAGCCAAAACTTACATTTGTATAATTATGTTATAATGTCTTTTAGTTTATTTATTGCTATATTTCCCAATATAGCAAAGATTTTGCGAGATCGGATTTAAAAAAAATAAATCTGCGATGTACTGAGGGAGTGAAAGAAGAACCGTGACATAGAGAGGGAACACTGTTTAGGATTGTCTGTTTTTAAGGACTAGGGATTCATGAATCAGTCTCTTGATTGGTCGAAAATGAACCAAGTGATTTGTATTTGTACACATTATACACTAATGTAACATTATGTCATTTAAAAAAATAGTCGTAAAAATCTTCATTCTGTGTGTGTGTGCATGTGCGTGTGTGTGTGTGTGTGTAGTCCACTTAAGCTTCTGAACAGGCACAATGAAGTGTGGTACATATCCGAGGGGGAACCCGTTTGCACGGACCCACAGGAGCCCACTCCTCCCCACACCCCCCCCCCGACTCCCACAGACTCCCCCGTCTCCTCCCCATCACAGCCACTTCCTCACACACTCTCTGACTCCCCCTCAGCCCCCCTCGCCAACGTGTCCTTCAACACGACATCCAACGCCACCTCCCAGATGCCCCCTGACTCGTCCGAGCTTCCACAATCCGACGCTCCTTCTAGTCCCAGTCCGTCCCCTCAGACCGATCTCACCTCCGAAGCCACTTCCAGTCACCCCCCCACCACTGCCCAGACACCGCTGGACTCCACCACCAACTCCTCCGATCCTGTCACCGCAGGCCCGTCTCTGGAGCCCCAGTCTGACGTCGTCCTGTGGAACAGCACGGCTAACAGCACCGCGGACACACAAACGGAAGCTAGCCCCGTGGTGGAGCCCGACGACGCTAAGTAACAACCTCACACTTTTCCGCAGCAAGCCATTCCTGGTGTATGGGCCCTACACTCTGTCTGTCCAATCAGAGCAGGCCGAGTGAGGACACGTGAGGATGTTGAATGGACACGCTGGTTTCTTCAGCCTTCTCTCTCTAACCCTGTGTATCTCACCGTCTCCTCTGTACGTTGTGTCAGTGCTTTGCACCTGCAGCTTCACGCACCTGTGGTTTTAGAAATAGGGACAAATCCAACATACGCTTTAGATGGAAAGGTTTCAAGTCATTGTATAAAATCTGAGAACCGTCAGTCACAGAGATCATGTGTTTATATATTCAAACGTAGACTTCAGCTGTCCAGGGCCGTCCACAGTCATCGTGGGAGACGGGGACAGAACGAGGTTAACATAAAGTAGAGCATTTTTATTACGGGATTGTCTATTGTCCAGACACACAAGTACATACGTGTAAAACCCAACAATATTCTTAGGTAATAGTACATCGCTCTGCAAAAACTATTTCTACATGTACTGCAAAAACTGCTACGACAAAGTGCAAATAGAGTGTGAACGTTAGAAGTTTAGGTCATAAGGAATCATCTAAAGATCAATAAACCATCAATCTGAATTGTCACTGTGTTCTGGACTCCTCTGTTCCACTGTCTGTGTCCAAACCTCCGCCCTGGAATACACTTTTCAAAATAAAATACCACGCAGGTATTTTTTATTTAATTTTTTAGTTATTTCCATAAATAAATGAAAAAGAAATCAAAATAAAACTTATTTTAACTAACTTTATTTTGTGTGGCGTGCTACAAAAGCTGTTAGCTTGGTTTGCTACAAGAAGAGACTAATCCTCGTCCTGGTGATTACAATCGCCTGTCATAATATACGGAGTAATTTTGACTCTTTTAAATTAAATTAAATTATCAGTGTGACTGTGTATGTGATGAATTCGACCTCGGGAGCTGCCTCTTAAATTGAAGAGCACTTTTATTTATTCTTCCTGTGCTTCAACATGCAGTCATAGTTGGTTAGCTTGGTTTGCTACAAGAAGAGACGACGTTAGAAAAATGTTGTTTATTGGAATTAATTGTTTATTTTTTGTGATTGTTTTGAGTGTATTTTAAATCAAACATTTAATGGATTTAATGGACAATAATCACATTGTTGCCACTTGTTCCAGTATATTTTTTCACCCATCTTTTTTTTTTTTTTTAGAGAGTAAAGGATGCTTTTTGGTTCACAGGCTTCAGCTTGTTCTGCAGCTTCACACCAAACTTCTCCCAAAGAATCCGCTCCACTTCCTCTTCTGGTATGTCCTGCATGTCGATAAGATCTACTCCTTCCTCAGGTTTGAAGGTGACCTGGCTGTAGCTCAGGCCGACCAGGCCTCTGAATCCTGTCGGTGTTTGCAGGGAGCAGATTGATTTATTGGTGAAGAGTGAATCAGGATCTGTCTGAAGGCTGTGGTTGAACTCCAGGAAATGGTCGACCTGCCTGGGAGCCAAGGAGAAGCAGTAGATCTTTCCTGACGGCTTCTTGTCAATCAAGGGTGAATCAGAAAACTCTGCCGCGGTAACTTTCTTCCTGCTTGTCTTTTCCAGCACCCAGGTCTCCCCCTCCTCTACCAGACGAAAGACTGCTACAGGCTGAGGCTGCTCCTTCCCTGAGATGAGCTCCAGTGGCTCCAGGATTTGAGACGACATCCCGAAGCTCACATCCGCAATGTAAGCTCTTCCATCAATCACAACTTTGTTGATGAGATGATCTTCTGTCGCGGTGAAATCGTTGGTGTCTGTGTCGAAAACTCTGGCTCCTAACATTGTTACGTCGTAGCCCATTTCTCTCAGCACCCAGTTGAACAGACAGTTGTTTTCTAAGCAGCAACCGCCACGATTGCTTCTCACCTCCTTATCGAAAATAACCTGCAGGTCCAACGTGATTCTCTCACCACAGTGAATGCTGAGGTTTTCAAATGGGATCACCATGACATGCTGTCTGTGGATCTGCCTCAGTGTTGCCAGATCCGGTTTTGCATTTGAGCCTTGGAAACCAATTTTTGCAAAATATTCCTGCAAATTCATAATTTCTGTAAAAAAAAAAAAGAAAAAAAAGGAGGGAGGGGGTCGAAAAATGTCACTTTAAAACAAACTACACTTAAAGTATAAAAAAGAACAGGCAGAAACATTTAAAATACTTGGTTATAATTAATAATAAATGTCTGACTGAAGGACTGGGATATAAGTTGTGTTTTATTTCCTCTGCGGCAGATTCGATTTTCTTTAGTTACAGCTGCGTTTTTTTCCTTTAATAATGTCTTTGCCGAAATACGTACATACAAATTAAATGTAGTTTTTAGAATGTTGTAATAATTAATATTTGGCTCACAATTTTTTAAACCCGGCGATACTAAATATTTTGTTTGAAGGTTGTATTTATTTGTTAAATCGGTTGCTTGGTATCCAAGGTACTTTACCTGGTCTCAAATAAGAGATGTGATTGGACGGTGGGAGCGATTTTTATTTACGGAAGTAACGTTGTAGTTGTACGTCGATAGCCAAACGAACGCACTACAACATATGTTATATATGGGCTAAATCACTCCCTTCTCCCGATCCCCCTTCATAGCAGCAAATCTGAGGCAAACACACAAACGTAACGTTCGTTATAAACTGTGTGTAACCGTTGAGTTTGTCGATGTTGGCCGTGTCCGGTTCCGGGGCTTTTATTTTTGATGGAAAAGCGGAAGTAGTTGTGACGCGCAGGCGACTGCGTTTGTGTGTTCAGTGGCCAGTTAAGTTCACTAACCTTCCTCATCCACAAAATATTTAACCTTTTGATATATTTTCTTTGTCTACACATCTACAACTGACTAAAGTTGTAATAATTCGCCGCCATTTACGGATTGACTCTACTGACTCGTTTGTTAACTAGCGAATTACTAAAACTTCCGTCCAACTACTCCAGTCTGTTTATATGATTTTAGTTTCAACCGATATTCAGTGTCAGAATAAGAATCCGTTGTTACTGCCATTTCGTCAATAATTGTTTGTTATATTAACGTGTTTCTCCTCGCAGTGAAACTGTCGTGACGTTTACGTCAATTTCTAAAACTACAGTTTGCCTCAGCTGCATTAAAACAAAATCCTGCAGGGCTGTTCCTACAACTTCCTAAAACTCAACAAACCGACATAAACGCCCAGGTAATTTACCAAATGTTAAGCTACTAAGTTACTTACCAAATGCTAAGTTACTAGGTTATTTACCAAATGCTAAGCTAAATTTACTTTTGGAGACTTTGGGGGAGACGGAGAATCCAGTCCGGGTGAGTTTCTAATGCTTTGTGTTGTAAACAGGAAGTATCAACTCAGCAAATAGCATGTAGGTATATGTAGATATAATGTAGATATACTGTTAGTTTACACAACTAACAGTACCTGTTAGACAAGAAGAACCGCGAATCCCAGTTTTATGGTATGTCTCAATGTCTCAAAACTCTGGATTTGTGGATTGAATCCCAGTTTTATGGTAAATAATAAAAGGTTTAATCGTGACTCGAACAAATGTCTCAAAACTCTGGATTTGTGGATGAAAAGAACTTGGACTCGTAGTTGGATTTGTCAGTTTTAATCTCATCTGTTGTCATACATGAATGCTGGTCTGAAACGTCCAGTTCATCAATATACCATTCAATTTCAGTCCTTTATCGACGTAGTTACCAGGTAGATTTGTGACTGTTATTTCCCAAAATTAAAACATAATTGGAAATTAGGGATGCCCGATAATATCGGAAGTCATGAACTGCATTTTTCAATCAAAAACAAAACAGAATTCTCGCCGTTAGATACATGAAGTCACCAGAAGTCACCAGATGGCGCCAGATGTCGTTTTTGTTTAGTAGTGACGTATTGTATATGAGCAAAAATGTGAGGCAAAACTACACTTTTCACAAACATAAATATTGTAAAAAATGGAATGGTAGATTCAGACCAAGGCTGCATTTATAAAAATGTTTTTGTCAATTCGCACATTTTTGATAACAGTCTAATCAGACCTGTAAGATATTCCAGAAATAATTTTTCTTTGGTTGTAGAAGTTACATTCGTTTCTTTTGCTCATTTATAACGACGAAACCAGTACAACCACCGAACAGAGGGAAATGACGTCATTAACTAAATTAAGGGAAGGAGGGAAATGACGTCATTAACTAAATTACAAGAGAAAACTAGTAGCAGCGTGAAACAAAGTAAAAGTAATATGACATGAAACTTTATCCTTAATATACTTGTAATGAATTGTACAAGTTGGCATCCGAACCCTATTTCCAGAAAAGCTGGCAAACTTCCTCAAAATGCAACAAGACTTGAATTTTCAGTGACAAATTATTTGGATTTGTCAAATAAAAACAAACAATTTCTCCAACACAATCCAAAATGTTGAGGTGGAGAAGGAATGATCCTAGAAGTAACATCCGATGTGGTATAAAAGGAGCATCTGCCAAAGGTTCGAGTGATTCAGCAACTGGTGGAGATTTATTGCATTTTAGGAAGATTTCCGAGTTTTCTTGGGTTTTTACATTCACGTATTGTTAACAGTAACAAGTTCTTCTTCTGTGTCATTTCATGCAGTAACTGATCCTCCATGCTGCGGTGCTGACGTCACCTGTGACACCAGTCTGATGATTCGTTCACCTCTACATTCTGTGGTTATGGCTATGGTCATAGTTTTAAGAGAACAAATGTTCCCGGCGCCCCCTGCTGACAGACTTGAGCACTCATAAGCGATGGTGAGAATAAAAAGGGATTTTTTTTTTCCTCAGATGTTTGACTTAGGTATAAAACTTCCGTTTTCCTACACAGAGATCTGACACTGATCTAAAGTCTTATTAAAAGTTCTGTAGTTTAGTAAACAACTTCATAAGTTTTTTTTCCTCTGAAAGAAAAAAAAGAGACATTTTTCAAGTTTGTACTTCAAACAATACGAAGTTAAAGTGATGAGACTTTTTAAAAGTAACTCTTATTTGTGCAATGTAGGCTTTTTTTTTCTTTTACAAAATGTTAGCGTCCTTCCTCTGTAAGAGTGTGACTCCTCTGCTGCTTTTATGCACAGTGGATGACGTGCACTTTTCTCTCCTGAAAACTTTCTAATTGAAGTAAAATCCTATGTCTAGAGAAGTACTTGTGTATCTGTGTACACACACACACACGAAACATACCGAGCCTCCAGGCCTGTTTTTACCTACACATTTTTATTTTTCCTAGAATCGTCTGTGACTTCTGTCACTCGTAGCAGCGAGACGCTCTCACTTGGAAGGAACCGCCTTTTTGGCAACGCTCGTTCTCCTGCCTCCTCCTCCTGCTGCTCCTCCTCCTCCTCCATGCCAAAGGTGACCAGGGATGGTGAAGGCATCAACAGACATACCCATGGTTTTTGAGGGAATGGCGCTAAACTGCTTCCTGTCTGAGCTGTATTTATAGATGGACTCCACCTGGGTGGAGCTGACCGTCCTCGGACCCACACCCGCCAGTCGGACCAGTTCCTGTGAGTCCAGGTTCATGGTGTAAACGCCCCTGAACTGGCAGCTGGAGTCACGGAAAAGGATGAGAAAGTGGTTGGCGGGACTTTTCTCCATCTCCTGAGGTGAGCAGAGTGGGAATAAGAGAGAAAAGACGGCTTTAACCTCCGAACAACGCTACAAAATGTTAGAGTTGACCTTTTTTACATTGGGTTTTTGTTAATAATTACTACAGAAACTGAGCATGTATTTTTGTAAATCCATGATATCATATTATGCCAAATACCACAGTGCTAAAATTACTGCACCTCCACTATCTTGGTCTTTTGTGCCTCGTTAACTTTTCCAGCTAAACAGCAGTGTGACAGCGCGTTATGGATGATGAATTTGTTGGATTTGAAACTGGGTTCTTTGAAGAGCTTCGGACCTGAGAACACGTAGAGAATAGTACATAGTACAATAGCCAGTAATTTTTTTTATAGCATGGAAATAGTGTACCTAGTTGCAGTACTTTTACAGTACCTGTGTATTCTTGGGCTGATGAGGAACCATTACAGGCCGCCTCAGAGTCCTTTTCTAGATTCTGATTGGCCAGTTTGTTTGGTGTCACACATCCTGAGGGTGATTCAGGGCGGCTGCTGGAGTAAAAAAATAAAAGCAGAAAAAAATGTTTAAAATGTCAGTATCAAAATGACATAATTCTACCTTCATTACTGACAACTGTTAGCAAGATGTGAAACGTACCTCCGGCCTTTCTTGCCGGAGTCACGTCCGTTGTTTCCTGACTCGTCTCTTGCAGCCAAGTTGACGGAGGAGTGCGAATACTCTTTGGTCAACTTCGCGCCTAAAAAGAAAAAACATAAAAGCGGTATTTCAGTTCAACTCTAGACAGAAGTAAAATTTATGACGTACTTTGTCAGGGATTCAATCCACTCTTTAATTTACCAATAATTCCTTTGGCCGGACTCAAAGACAACTTTGTTTCCTCCCTGGTCATGCTGCGAGGCCGAGCGCGGCTCTTCTTAGCGGGAGATCGTCCCTGACTGGGGGCTTTCTGCCGCAGTACTTTGTCGAAGTCTTCCATGACCCTGAGCTGCTGTCGCCGCGCGTACTCCCCTCGTGTGAAATCATCTCGGCGGGCTGGAGTAGCAGGAGGAGTGGGGGAAGGAGAGGTGGTGGCTGCAGGTGGCGTACGTGGCGGCGACGCTGCGTTTCTGTCTAATAACGTTGACCTGAAAAAGTCAACATGTCAGGCTATAACTGCAATGCTGCGTCTAACTGGGCTCAGAATATTATCACATGAGTACGCTGCTGAGTAAACCTGCAGTTTAATTGAGATGAATGTCTACAGGGACTTTGGTCGGAAGTCTGAACGTTTGTTTTCACCTGTTTTCTCTTTCCTGTTCGTTCCACTGCCTCCTCTTCCTCAGCTCCTCTGCCCTCCTCTGCTGTCTCTCCAACAGGAGCGCGCGACGCTGCGCCATCTCCTCCTCATTATGGAGTTCATCCTAAAATCAAAGTAGCGTAAACTCATAAACCGCAGCGATTGTTGACACATTTTTTAAAAACTCCTCGTTGACCTTCCTCACCTTAAAGAAGAATCCGATCCCTCCCCTGGTTCCCTGCTCAGCCAGCTCTGCGTTTGGTTCCGATGGTTCTGTCTGACTCTTGGGTTCCCTATGTTCTTCGGGTGATTCTGGTGATTTTGGGTTTACTGCTTCATGATCCGGCTGCTCCAGAGGTTCAAAAAGTTCTGGGACGAGCCTCGCCCCAGGTTCTGCCGCAGATTCTGTGTGATCACTCATGGAGTCAGAGGAAAACTCATGACCTTCATCAGTCGGTACATCACTTCCTCCCTCTGGTCCAATCAGAGAGGACAGCGACGCCTCCATCTGGTTGCAGCTCTTTCTCGTGCCTCCACCTCCCGTGCTGTAGGCAGCAGAGATGGAGAAAGTCTCGCTCTCAAACGAACACTCTGACGGTGCACCGGAGCTGCTGCCCCCGGCCCGAGAACCCCCGTGTCTGGCCACTGCAGAGACGGGCAGTCCTCCAACGGCCTCCGCCTCCTCCTCCTGCTCCAGCTCCAGGCTGAACTGTGTGGGTGTCTCACTGGAACCTGTCTCTGATGTGCTTTCATCAGGTTGAGGAGGACGTTGAGGGGAGTCCTGAGGGATCCGGGGACCACCGATATGGAAAGAGGAGGAGGTCTGGACTTGACACTTGCTGGGTGACGCGCGGCGTAAGTGCTGGAGGGTGTCCACGGTCTGGGTCGGCACCAAGACGCGGGTGGACGTGGGGACCTTGAGATCAGAAGGTCGTGGATGGAGTCGCTGATTCTGTTGGCGCTGATGGTGTTTGGGGCTTCTGGGCGATGAGGAGGCGGCGTGAATCTTTGTGCGTGGAGCAGGGCACGAGGAGGAGATGGTGGATTTTGGAGAGGTGGATAAGGAGAGAACATTGGATCGTCTAGAAGGGGAAGAAGAAGTGGGGAGATGTGGAGCAGCGGGGATCACCCAGGCTTTAGTGGAGCTCCTCGTCGGAGCCTTGGTTGGGGTTCTTGGTGGCGTCTTTGTTGGCGTGTGCGGAGGAGTTTGAGGAGGCGTTTTAACGTTACTCCTCTGTTTGGGTTTCAGAGTCGTCTTGTGTGAATTTCTGGGTCTCTGGTTTCCCAGTAGCTGCTGTTGCTGTTCTGTGAGTTTCTGCATGTCTCTCTGCAGTGACTGCAGGGCTTCGCCCAGTTTCTGCACCACTTCGTTGTAGTCCTCCAGGACGGACTCGCCTGGTTTCTCCTTCTCTGGCTCTTTTTTACTGTCGATAGAGAACGTGACCTGCTTTTCCAACCGAGGAGGATTAGAAACATTTGTTTTTTCACTCTCTTTGTCGTCAGCTTTTCCGTCATCCTTTACCTCTTTCACTTCCTTCTCCTCCTCCTGCTTCAGTTGCTCCTCCATGCGGGTGAGGCGCTCCTCCAGGGTGAGATTGTCATCCTCTGCTCCATTTCCTCCTCCTCCTCCTCCTTTCTCTCGTTTCAGCTGAAGGAACGCCGTCTTCCCCAGCCTCTGCCTGTGTTTGGCAAATATGGCTTCAATTCGCCTTTTTTGGGCTTCGATGCTTTTTCGTTTTTCCTCCAGACGAGCTCCCAACTCCCAGGCCTCAGGCCCTGGTTCTGGACCGGTGGGACCCGGTGCCTTCACAGGGGTTGAGGGTGTGTGTGGCGTCCCTGGGGTTGTTGGTGTTGGAGCTGAGAGGGATTCCTCTCCAGGAGTGGCAGGCTGTCTCCTTCTATTGTCACGTCGTTCAGCAAAGCTGGTCATTCTTGTACTGTTGTTGGCGCTGTTGTTCCCATGGTGACCACTACTGGGTCGAATGTTTCCAGGAGCGTTCCTCGGGGCATCATCTGACGTGTCGGAGGAATCAACGCTGCCGTCTCGGAGAACGGAATCATCATCACGTGACATATCAGAGCGCCGGCCTGATCTCTCGCTCCTCCCTCCTCTTCCTTGCCTTTCATTTCCACCCACTTCTCCACCTACAGGTCGGTAGAGAACTCCCGACCGAGAGGGAGCGGAGCTGCTAAGTTGGGAGCTATCTTCCTCCGGACAGTGCAGGAAGAAGCCAGCGGGGGCTCCCTCTGGGCATAACCTCGGCTCGGGCCTTCCTCCCCCCAGCCCTCTGCCTCCCTTCTCTGGTATCCTTTTGCCGTTGGGAGCGTGAACCACCTGTAGCGCCTCCTCAATAGTTGGCAGTTCTCCCAATGGCGCCGTGTGCGCATAGGGCCCCCAGGACGACCGCTGGGACGGAGCTGAGCTGCTAACAAGGTGGCTGAGGTCCTCCGGTGGGGTGTACGGGACACGGGCCATCCCTGATGATGTCATCGACGAGGTGATGGCAGGGACGCCGGTGGGGAGGTTGTCAGTGCTGACGGAGCGAAAGACAGAATCTATTGGATTTCCCATGACAATGTCAACATCACTGTCCAGGCCAAATGGGATGCTGAAAGTCACTGCTGACAGTGGACGACTGCAGAGAGATGAGTGACGGTGAACGCATGGAGCGACAAATGGAGCGTGGGCGACAGAATGGAGAAGCAGAGACCACAGAAGCCAAAATAAGAAGATAAGAAATCAATATAAAAAACGTGAATGCAGCACATTTACTGTCAAAGAATAAGAACAACCAGCTCCGCAGGACATTTACCTGATTTGCTTCTTTGTCCAGCTTTTGTTTTCTGAAACTGCAGATTTGAGTTGATTAGCGAGACGGGACATTTACAGATTTGTTAGAAAGAAGAAAAAAAAAAGTCTTACCCGGTGACACTGACGAGAGGGGCACAAAAGGTTGTTTGAAAATAAAAGATGGGGAACCACTGAAACAGACAGAAATCCAGTCAGAAACATAACAGACGACTGGACTCTAGTTTATATATATATGTAGTCATAACATTTTCATAAATGTTTCTGCAATTGATTATTATTGATATAAGTTACAAATATTGTTCGTTGCGGAGTTTTAAGGCTCTGGTGATTTACTTTGATTCTTATCTGCGTTGATGACCTCACAGTGTCATTGATTTGTTTTGTTAGTTGTATTTGTTTGTGGGTGCTGTGGTACCTGTTGCTGTTCCCACTGACAGGACTGGTGCAGTCCAGCAGCTCTGAGACATCTGGAAGACAGACACACAGTTGTCGCCACCTCTCAGACTAACGGCTGATGTTGTGTATGTGTCAGTGTCACAGACCTGTGAGGTCCACGGGTTGTAGGGGCTGCACAAACTCCGGCTTCCTGATCTCAAACCACTCCAGGAGTTCTGCCATGAAACTCATGATGTTCAGCTGCAGGAAAAACAAAGTCACACATTTTACCCGACGGAATATAATTTATATTTGTTTTTTGTTTTGCTAAGGATATTGTGGCTTTTTAGGTGCTTCAGTAACAGCCAACGTACTGACACACACTCCACACTGAACTTACATGAAGAAGTGGGGGAGCGTAGAGCAAGTCCTCCACAGCTAGAGGGCAGCAGCTCTGTAGTCTGCTCTCACAGAAATCTTTAATCAGCTGGAGGTTGTAAAGACTGTCAGCCACCGACATGGTGTCCTTCAGACACACATCTAAGAGCGGGGGGGTTGGGGGGGTGGGAGGGCAGAGAGAGAATGGAAACATATATTTATACAAACAGATTTATTTTCAGTTGTTTCTCTCGTCTCCGGTCGTCGTCAGTCTGTCATCTGACGTCTTTCCTGTGCCGCACGTGCGTTAGTGCCTGTGTTCATGTGTACACGTACCCTCCAGGGGCAGCAAGCTGGGGCAGTAGAAGTGCAGCACAGCAGCTACCGCACAGCCATTAGAGAGATCTTTAACCGCAGAAACCAGGGGGAAAGTGGGCGTCAGCTTCGACTGCACTTTGTCTTTCCTGTAGCGAATCTGAAAAAGAAAGAAAGGAAGAGGAAGATAAAAAGACGGAAAGAGGGTAAAAATATAAGACGCATGGAAGAACAATGTACAAGTAAGAAAAATGTATGTGATTTAGGAATTACGATCAGTAAACCCTAGTTAGGATGAGGGTCAGACCAAGGGTTGGGGTGAGGGAGGTTAGGGTTAGATCAGCATCAGGGTTAGGTATTAGGTTGTGGTTTCTTATCAACAGGAACTTAAAAGTTGACGTACCAAAAATGGACATAGCTAAGTATTTTAAGGCAAATTAGTGCATTGTTAGTCATTTTTGAGAAACTTTTTTTTCCGGAGATTTCTTCAGGAAATTATTGGTATAGGATGTAACTGTGATCAAAAGTTGACGTACTAAAAAAGTATATTTTTTCTTAACTTTAATCACAGAAATGGACATAGATAAGTATTT